CTGTCTACCTCTGCTGGAGAAGGAGGGAGGGGTGGAGGTAGGGGATATAGCTGGGAAGGAGGGAGGGGTGGGGGGAAGGTGTTTTTAAGATTGACTTCTTGTTATCCTGCTCTGATTATGTTATAAGTGAATTTAATTACTATCCCTGATTTAATTCTATTTGGCCCATCATAGAACTTGGTGAGTGATCTCTCCCAGACCTTATCTCAGCACATACATCTTTGTTATATTTTCTCTCTCCTGTCCAGTTGCAGGAGTATAGAGCAGCTCAGCCTGGCATCCAGATAGGGTCAACCCACTACAACAGGAAATACTCTTCTGATGTATTTGTTCGTGATGCTAATTTGCACTGTATTCAACAAACCTTGCATGATCTTGCAGGATTATTTTAAACCCCTGGACTGATTAGCAGTGGCTCCTGCCACCTTCACACAAGGGCAGTGTGCCTGTCTGTGGACTGCTTGTAGCTCTGACCTGTGCTCTGATGGCAATTGGAACACTTTATGCCTGGAGCTGCCTCAACTTTTGTATTTTTACTGTATTCTAGCATTATGAGGACAGTTACATTAAAAAAAGCTGGCTGACAATTCCTTATCTGTTCTGCTCCTTTTTAACATCTACATGTGGCCTTTCCTGGAAAAGCCTCTAACATATTACAAATTGAAATTGTAATAGTTTATAAATTTGTAAATTCATTTTTAATTAATTTATTTTAAAAAATTAAATTGTAATAAGTTACAAATGGTAATTTATAATAAAGTTACAAAGCTGAAAAATAGCAAGGAAGAGTTAAATGATTGATGTCCCATTTGCTGAAAGTTTGTGATAAAGTGTACCAAGTTTCCAGGCTTACTGGTCTCCCAATTGTGTGGCTAAGTTGCCTTTTCCAAAGATTATTACTGAAAATTGTAGTTCACTTAGAAAGTTAGTTATGCTTTTATTATATTTGTCTCATCTTAGCTTGGTGCTGCTGGAAGATACTTCTGCCACTGAAAACTTGGGTTGGTGGAACTCCTTTCTGAAAGATTGTGTTTCACCAGGATTTTCCCCTGGGTCAGGGAGAGGAGAAGGTGGAGGCAGGAGCTGCCTCAGCTGGCACTCAGCTTGCATCTCTGGGAGCTTGTCCTGTAAGGATGACTGTTGTCTGGTCTCTTCATAGGCAAAGTTGATCTCCCTTGCTCTAGCAAAGAAGAGAATTTGAGGAAGGCTTCTTTGTGTGTGACTGTCTTGAGAATACATCAACTTTGAAAAGAAATGATTTAATGTCATCTGGTTCTGGCAGTGGTTTGACATCCTTGTTTGATTTGCCTCTCTTATACATTGTAGCTCTCTTTAGTGATTAGCTTAACAAATTCATCTTCAAGGAGAAAAGTTTTATATTTGTACACCTAATCTTTCTTCTGGAATATTTGTTATGTGTGCTCATTCTTAAAGGCTTTGTCTATGTGTGGCATTATAAGTTGAAATTTGGAGTATTGCTTTCCCAAATCCATGTGATGACCTGGTGAAATAAAGGGTCCCAATGAAGGAAAACACCAGAAACTCCATTAAGACCTCTCTGTGTCTTGGAAGTGGCCCATCCTGACACTTATTGCTGTATCTTGTGTGGTTGTGGGTGTATGATCTCTGAAAGTACATGATTCAGTCCATTATGTGGAGTAGCAGAAATGAAATTATCTATTATTGTCACACAAATGGTATTCTGATTAATTATAATTTTAACAATTTAATTGTTACAGTTAACAGCTTCTTAAAAGCTACTGAAATATCATTTAAAGCCTTTCTGAATTCCTGTAGCTTCTGCTACTGAGTGTTCCCCTCTCTCCCTTCCCATAAATGCCAGTAGCCCCAGTAGTTGCTGCTACAAGCTACTTGGTGAATTATTTATGGCAGTTTAAATTGCAAACTGTTTGCAAGGGGAGGTAAATGAAGGCTGAGATCTATTGCTTTAAGAATTTGAACCAAAATATTTATCGAGGAGGGAAATAAATTACATAGGAGTAATGAAATACTGTGCACAGACACACATATAATTTCCCAGATTCAGCTGTGGCTGATTAAATGGTTTTCTCATCTGATGTTAGATAGGTAGACCTTCCTAACTCTTCTGTTTTCTGCCACTTCCTTCCTTTAAATGTCCTGAGCATCAGCTCAGGACATATATAGATGTATATATGTATATATATAGATGAGTACTCTGGCTATCTGGATCTCCTGGGAGACATGTCTGAGATAATTCTGAAAGATTATTATCTGGCTTAAAAAATTATTTTTCTTTATATTTTAATATTCATCCCAGCTGTCTGTGATCTTTAAAGAGTAGTTAATTCTCTTGGCTGGCTCTGTTTCCTGATTGAAATTTAAATAAAAACTCACCCACCACATTCTTCTCTGCTAATTTATGAAAAAATGTTTTTCAGAGCAGAATAATTATGTGATTACATCAGTTGGAGTCTATTCTGTGCAGTCTGCCTGATGTCTAAAGTGGTGACTGAGAGAGAATAAGTGGCTGTCCAGACTGGCCAAGAGCGGGTAGGGACTTCATCACTGGCAGTTCTCACAAAACACATGAGATTATTCAGTGTCTACCTTAGGCATTTGCCTGTCTGCAGAGCCCCAAATGCATTATTCCTGTCACATGTGCTAAATACAGTATTCCTGCCACACGTGGGTTTATTGCTCCTCTCGTCTGTGCTGTGTTGGGATCAGTTAAACTCTGGAGTCGGCACTGTCATCTCTTCCCATTATACTTAAAATATTTGACACTTAACTCCTCTAAGAGAATATCTTCACTGAAGTGTGTCAATTGCCAGTTACATATACCAATGGGCTAAAAATGAAATAGAATAGTGCAGGCTTTTAATCTTTTGCTGAAAATGAAAAGGTTTTTTTCTGCAAAAGTCTTGGTGACTGAGAAATTCCTTTCCCCTATCCTTTTTTCTATTTGTCAGATTGGAGGAGTGCAGTAAAATGGATGATATTTCATGCCTTAGGAGGCAACTCTTTTCTTCTTAAGGAGAAGATGAGTCTTTGGGAGAGAGCAGGGGAGAGCAAACAAAGTGTCCAAAGGAGGGCAACAAGATGGTGAGGAGTCTGGAGAGGAAGCAGTATGAAAAACATCTGCGATCACTTGGTCTGTTCAGCCTGGAGGACACTGGAAGAAGATCTCATTGCTATCCACAACTTCCTTGTGAGGGGAAAAGGAAGGGGCAGACACTGATCCCTTCTCTCTGGTGCTCAGAGACAGGACCTGAGGGAATGGCCTGAAGTTGTGTCAGAGAGGTTTAGGTTGGATATGAGGAAAAGGTTCTTCACCTAGAGGATGGTTGGGCACTGGAACAGCTCCCCAGGGAAGTGATGGCAGCATCAGCCTGTCAGAGTTCAGGAACCATTTGAACAATGTTCCCAGGCACATGGTGTGACTCTTGGGGCTGTACTGTGCAGGGCCAGGAGTTGGACATGGAAGATCCTTGTGGATCCCTTCCAACTCTGCATATGCTGTGATTCTCTAAGGCCAGCATTGCTGAGCACATCTGAGATTTCATACAGGTCTTGGGGTCTCTGGTCCTAGAAGATATTTTGACATCTGGGCTTTAATTCTCTTCTTCATTAGGAATCTTGTAGTTAAAATGATGTTGCATAAAAACATGCATCTTTTCTGTATGCTCTGCTATACACTTCTGATATGCCTGCTCTCTTTATTATGACTTTAAGTAATTTGTTACCATGTGCAGTGTGGTTTGTTAGTAAAAGTCAAAATGCTGGGGTTTGGACTGTATGTAGTAGTATGTGTCACTAATTTATATGCCTTGATTGCTGATAAAAATAAAGATCAAAAGTGGCAGTACATTTCTCCAGGAAAACAGATCAGACTGTGTTGATGGAAGCCTGCCCTAGATTCATGAATGAAGTATTGATTCATCAGTAGTTGATTCAGAAAAGTGGGGTTTTTTACCCATGAGTTAGGTAGTGTGCTTGTTGCAAGTCAGAATATTTGCAAACAAAATACAGATTATTCCTTTCCTAAGAGGAAATTGTATGTGCTATTTGAAATTTGTTGATATTTTTCACACTGGTGAACAATAATTGGCATATCGGCAATTCTGACAAGAGAGAAATGCAGAAAAGCACTAAAATACATCAGGAGAAAACCACATAGGCAAGTCAAAGAACACGTTTAAAATGCAGATCATTCACTGCAAAGTCAAGTGGAGCAGTAGTGCCTGACATGCCCCAGTATCTGACAAGACTCAAACCTTTACTGGCAGCAGCCAGCAAGGCAGTGAAGTTTTTTACTATGTTTACTATGTTGTATAATCAGTCACGTTTAAAGGGTGAAATGTAATGAGCTGTTAAACATTTGGAGAAAATATTTTTGGAAAGAAACTTGGTCAAAGGTAACCCCACATGAATTCAGGAAATTATTTAATGTATTACTTAAAACACTGTTAGCAACTTGTTTTGAGTAGTTCTGACAGCAATCTGTTGAAGGAAGACAGGTGCCTTGTCATTCTTATCAGAAAGTACCCCTAAATATCTGTCAAGAGTATTACTTACAGCAGCTGTCTATTTTTCAAGCTTCTATAAGAGGTTCATAAGAAGTATTTCATTATGCAATATAAGTTATATACATGAGAATATATTTATATTTATGTTTATATTTATATTGATATAATTTATATTTATATTCATGCTTTTTTCAGCCTAATGAGTTAAACTCCCGCCCTGTATTTATTTGTGATTTATTTGTAAGGTTTGCAAAGGTTTTTTTTAATTTAAATTAAATGTACTGTGGTGTGTTTGCTTTCATATGCTGTTATTTACTGTGGAGTGCACTAAGGCTTTTGGCTATATCAACAGTTACATATATATGTATACATACACTCTAAGTGTGTAAAAACCTTGCAACTGTAAAGCCTTATGAAAAGCAGTGATTTTATTTTTTTGTTGAAAACAGTTCCTAATATTTTTTGTTGGATTTTTGTTTGGTTGTTTTGCAGTTAAAGAATCTGAGTTTAGAAGAATTACAGATGAGGTTAAAGGCTTTGGACCCTATGATGGAACGAGAAATTGAGGAGCTTCGTCAGAGGTACACTGCAAAGAGGCAACCTATCCTAGATGCGATGGATGCAAAGAAACGGAGGCAGCAAAATTTCTGAGTTTGTTTTACTTTCAAACATAATACTAGGAGTCAGTGTGGACACTGGTAACTTCAAGTCAGAAGGAATTTGATTATGAGAGTTTTTAAAAATCCAATCTGTTAAATTTTCCTCCACAAGCAGTGACAATTGCAGCAGTCAAGAACATTCATGTGGTGTTCTGCAAAGGCAGTAAAACACTTTACCACTTGTTTGCATTTTCAAATGTTTAATGCAATAGAAATTTAATCTGTTACTTCCCAATCTTTTTCAGGTCTGTAGTGGTAACTTGGTGTTGTACATTGGGAATTGTGTTTTGGAGGACCTGGAATGATTTCTTGATTGTGCAACATTACCGGGCCTTATATTGCAATGTATTTTTCTCCCACTGAGTAGCATATTTATTAAGTAATCTTTGGTTATCCTATTTATTTTATGCCTGTTTTCTGTTGGGAAGTATTAGGATAATATTGTGGAGAGCAGAGTCAAATTAGATGAAATTGCTATGGTAGTATAATGAAAAGCTGCTCACCACTGTGTTATCTTTTAAAACTCCAACTTCAACAAGTATCCCGATTCAGGACAGCACTTGAACATATATCCAGCCTGTTCATAGCAGTAAAATTTAGGACTAAAGTAAGTAATAGGCACGTGTTTTTCTGCTCTCCTGAATCAGGGACTGTTGCAGTTGAGTAGTACAGTTGTTACACTACAGAGCATTCTTTGAGAGAGTATTTCTGTCATTTGTACGCACACTGAGTCAGCTGTCATTAAATAAGAATACAAGTGCCTAATCAGTTTTAATTTTTGTTATTCAGGAGAAGCAATACTTACAGTCACTCCTTAAGTGTAAACTTCCAATTGCTATTGCAATTCTGACCAGTATAAACCTCTATTTTGCACCGTAGTTTTATAATGAAATAACAGCTACACTTTCTGGATATGTTTTTTGTTTCATTTGGGATTTTTTAATCACTGTTTTGAGGGGAGAGGGGAATTATTAGTGCTTTGAGGTTTGTTTGTTTTCACATTATAGATACAAAGGGATAGTAATTTAAAAACCAAAGAAAATAAATTGAATACTTATATTTAATAAGTATAGAAAAGAAGCAACATTTAGTAGTGTTCTGAGGGGTTTGTCCTGCAATTGCTAAATATTCAAAATTCCTATAGTCTTCTGTTGGTAGATTTTGGGGACTCAGAAATGCAGGACCAAGCTCTTAATAGTTTTTTTCAAGTTCTTGTCTGGTTTATGTTGTGGAATATCTATTGATAGAATTTACAACATTGTGAGAAATATTTCAGACTTAGCAGAAAATGTGATCCACTCTCCAAACAATCTGCTGTGTTCTCTCTTGAAATCTTTACTTTTGTTGCCTTGTATGTACATAACTTCACTGTGATAGTCATACTTTAAAAAATACAGCTGAAAAGATCTTTACACTCAGCCTTCAGCTGTTTAATGGTGACTACTGTATGGGCATCTTCTATTAAACATTTTCTGGAAGTTAGTGATCATCTCATACCTCTTAACATAAATTGTCAACATATGTGGACCATTTAGATAGAACAGTGCTGATTTTGGAAATAATGCATTATGTCACAAAGCTTATGCCAATGGAAACGAAAGGTTCTTACAGGATCAGCATTCTACAGCCATGCTGGTACCAGTACTTGGGTTTGAGCTGTATACAGCCATTGCTGTCCTTGTCATTCTCTTTGTGTTTGCATGCACACCACGCTCTGACATGTAAACCCTAGAGTCAAATAAATCTTAATTGTGATTCTTAGAACATCCTTATCTTCAACTCTCTTTATACTTCTTAGAGCAATGACCACTCCTTGTGAAAATTCAAGAACACAGAAGATCCATAAAAATTACTTTAGGCAAGATAAAATGCACCTGGTAGTCCTATGCCTCACATTTGTACAATGAAATGTTGTAAAGTAAAAAATTGTATAAACATATCACTGTGTCATTAGATTATAACCATAATGCAGGAAAAAATAACAGTACCAGCTTCCCCCTATTATTATGGTTCTTATTTATTTAAAGTAATTTCTGCTTCTTGAACTTTCTGTTCTCAGAAACTCAAAGGTGTGTGTGCATACATTGATTTGTGTTGATATACACACATATATATTCATATCTATATATATAAGAGAAAATATAAAACAGGTTTAAACCATCAGGAGAAGAACCTAGCTTGCCTTTTCTTGGTGTGCCTTTTAAGCAGTGTCATTGTCTAGACACTCTTACCTGCATCCTCAGCAGCTAGATTTTCCCTTACTCAAACTTTTCACTTTTTTCCAAAAATAAGACTTTAAGTTTGAATAATGTGGCTTTACAGTGTAATAGCCAATAATATAAAATTATCAGAAATTTCTTTTTTTGTGTATTCTGAAAACTTCAGTAATGTGGTACCCTAAAGATGAACTGTATATCCTGAGGGACTCCAATAAAAGGCAATTTTTAGACTAGAAAAAATAGACTAGAGCTGTTGCAGTCTGACATCTGAAAGCTATCAGAAGGCAAATTACATCCTTTTTTTCTATCCTGATGTGTCTGCATAGAAACAACTTGGACTTTGTGCACATGCATGCACACAGAAATGGAACATACATGCATGAGAACAAATCTGAATGCCATGAATAAAGAGAATAAAACAAGCTCCTTAAAAGGGTGAAAAATAGTATGGGATGTACTGTAAACTGGGTAGGTACAGGATGCTTGTGACCAAAGAATATTTTAATGAATTAATATGAAATTAGTATGTTGCCATTCTGGTATGTTGCAAACTGCAGGCAGTGTAAGAGCTGCCTTGGGCTTCAGCAGCCAGCATATGGAGCTCTGAATCCTGTAGAGAGAAATAGGTTTTGTACTCAGAGATGGATGCAACTTATTTTTTGTTTCTTTTGTTTATACAAATGAATCAAATCATCCATGTTGTTGACCACACATCTCTACTGGAGGATGAACATCTCTGTAAAGGAAAGCCAGTAGTACAATAAATGAGATATTTTTAAAGCAAGCCTTGCAGGAAATCTAATAGAACTACTGACAAGTTAACCTTCAGTAAGATTTTAACCAAGCAATTTCTTGTTTGCTTCTGACTTTGTATGTTTAGGTTTAGTAAGTTAAAAAATTTTTGAAAAATCATTGCTTATTACTAAACATTTTTAATAAAAGCTAATTTTTCATGTATAATTGTTGACTTGTTCATTCTAACTGAAACAAAATAATCTTAATAGTAATCATTAATGTTCATTTCCATAGTCATCCCTCATGTTTTGTTTCCTTTCTGTAACACTGTGAGCACAGAAACCCGTGTCTCTCAAAGTCAGCTCTGGAAAGGATTTTTCCAGATTACAACAGTGCTGCAAGAACTAGAAGTCCAAGGATCTCATGGAAGTGGATCAGGCCAGAAATCCTCAGTACTCTGTGGAGGTGCTTCTCTCAGCAATCTGATGTTACTTAAGGCCTAATCCTGAGATAGCTGAGCATCACCCAAATACCTTGGCTGTCTTAGACATCCTTTACTTTGAGGTACGAGTGGACATGAGGGATTTGAGTTGTTCCTTTGTTGTTCTTGTCACACTAGAAAACCAATAGGCAATGGATGGACTTAAGCAGAACAAGTGGCTACATTTGATGTCTTGAATACAATTCCATTGCCCATTCCTTTTCTGATTTTTTAAAATTAGTCTCTTAAGAACTTGCCCACAAATACATTTTAGTAAAAGGAACTCATGACCAACGCTCCTTAGGGAACCATGGTATGTTTGAAGTCACGAAAGTCTGCTGCTAATCTGAATTAATCTGCCATTTATTGGATATTATAATTTTTTACTGTTTATTTACAATAAATAGCTTGTCTGCATTGCACAGTGTATTCTGATGAGCATGCACAGTGGCTTTGGGCTGCTTCTCCATTCAGTCTGTTGAACTTTCAGATATAAATGTGGCTCATGGTGAGTGAATCCCTGCACAAATGCATGGGGTAGATAGCCTGACTCACACTGAAAGGCACTGGTGCTTCCAAGCAGAATGTGTACTGTGCAGCTTCTGTGAAGCACTTGATGTGCATGTGGCTCTTAGCAGTGTGGTATGATGAGGGTTACTTTTACTTAAGTGTATACCTGGTTATAAAGCTAATCAAAAAGACCTCATAAAGTAAGAAAGTCTTTATTTCTTTGCATTCTTAAATATGTGAAAATTCTTAAATAGGACTCCAGCTTACAGTGGCATTTGTGTGTTTCCAAAGGCAGTGATGGATGCTAAATAGTTCAGGTTGGAACAGATCTCTAAGATCATCGAGTCCAGCTGTTAACCCAGCACCGCCAGCTCCACACTAAACTATGGCCCTAAGTGACACATCCACATGTCTCTTCAATACCTCCAGGGATAGTGACACCACCAGTTCCCTGGGCAGCCTGTTCCAGTGCTTGACAATCTTTTCAGTGAAGAATTTTTTCCCAATACCGAGTTAAAACCTGCCCTGGTGCAACTTCAGGCTCTGTCATGCAGCTGGATGGGGAATTTGCTGTGGGATGTTTCTATGCTAGGCTGTGATGCAGCAGTGTTATGCCCACTGTTGACAATGAAAGCCTTGGAGAAGACACATCCTGGGTAGCCCATATTGTTTTTCACAATTGTGTTGTGCCAGATGGAATAATAGCTTAAGCTTTTTGGAGAAAGGCAAATTACATTGATGGCTTAATGTGAAGTCATTAAGTTGCATCTGTGAAATACTTTTTTGCAAGATGTATTTCTCCTCTTTGTTCAGTGCATTAATTTTGGAATGGGCCTGTCTTTTACATGATAAGCTTTTATCCATTCTGATTTGGTTTAATTTGTTAGCATTTTTAAAGCATATGTTAAAATTCTCCATATTTTTCTTCTTCTCTTCCTCCTGCTAAGGAAAATGAATGTGGGCATTACTTTTAAGGGCATGCCCTGAGCCAAGAGTCCTTTGGACTTAGTGGACACATTCAAATGTCAGCAGCAGCTTTTATTCTCTTCTATTCAGAGATCACTGAAGTGAAGTCTCAGCTGTCCTGTTTTTCCTTCCTTTGAAAGGATGGGATGTTCAGATTCTAAGCAAATCTTTAGAATAATTGTTAGTCCCATACCAAGATGCTTTATACTTTTTTTCCATTATTTGCTACACATTCCTCAGGATAGATTCACACTTCACTTCACTAGGCCTTCAGTGAGTCGTCTGGGTTGGAAAAGAGTGGTATTTGTCAGAGAAACAGGAAGAAAGAAATAATTTTTAAAAATTTTATTTGGGGAAAAAAGAAAAAGAATATGGCATCTGCACCTGGCTGGGTGGCGTATGAGGTTACCTGTGGATGTGAGGAAAAAATGTGTTGGCTGACAAAAACAAATCAGGTACAAACAAATCTGTACAACTTACTGCTCTGTGTTGATGTTTCACATCTGATTTTCTTCTATTCATGTTTATTGTCTTCTATGTTCATGCTTTATTTATCCTGCTGCTGCCTTAAAGATAGAAGTTTCAATTTTTTTAAACTTTATAAATGGAAACATACCGTAACAGTGCCAAGTAAATAAAAGTGGAAAAAGAACCTAAGCAAAATCACCAAAGTGGGAGTGTTTTCTCATCCTTTCTTGCCCCACTCCTTTCTGGGGTTACAGAGGCTTCAGATGGCAAATGATTGTGCGTGGAGAGACTTGGCATGCTCCAGCCCTGGCAGACATGGATGGGAGATGGTTTTCTCCAGAGGTCTGGATGAGCTGTGCACCTGCTCAGGATGTCATGTAAGTGTTGTGTCCTGCTGGAAGCCTCTGCTACTCCTCTCCCTGCCGGGCTGAGGCTCCCCCAGAGCGCGAGGAACCGACACGCAGCAGGGAGTCCTGCTTTGCCGAGACACTCAGTGTGAATCTGGAAGCTGTTGGTCCCCAGCAGAGTAGCACTAAGCTCAAGTCAGTGCTATGGTCTGGGAAGCCTTGCAGGAGCCAGCTGTTACCTCAGGGAGAAATGCTGTGGTGGCAAACATCTTTTGATGCCACTTTACTTCTTTGGCTGGACTGCAGCATGGCCATAGCTCCCAATAAACCTTGTTCAGACCAAGGAGTCTGAGAACCTTTGGGAAAGATGAAGTTCCTTGTGTCTGTTTTTTTATTAATGTATAAAAAATATTTAGGAAATTATGTCAGTGCAGTGGAACGGTTTTTGTAATGGCATCAGTTAGTCTCTCCATGCCCTGAGCCAGGACCTTTCTTACTGTATCAGCATTATTCCTCAGCCTCCTCAGCCTTCCTGCTGTGGGTGCTGGGTTTGGCTTTGCCAGAAGTGATGATGGAAGCAAGAAGTTTTCATGTGCTGTAGGCAAACAGCCAGAGTTCTTGCCTAGTGCTGGTACTTGTTCAGTGCAAATAGGCCTTTCTAAAGGTCCGAAAGAAAATTCAGAGGGGATAAACTGGACACCAAGTAGGGAGTTCCCCTGACCCAGGCAGCAAGAAGACATTGGAAGGAATTAAATTATGATCTGATTCTGGGCTCAAAGGTGTTCTGTCTGTCACAATGGGGGAAAACAGTAATGGTATGCACCATTTCCCGTGGCACTGCAAACCCCAGCGACCTTAATTTTTTTTTTCTTTAGGTATCACAGCTTCAGAAGTTAAATTTGTAAATATACATGGCCACATGCTAAAGTACCTGGATATATTTTCCTCTGCCTAATTAATTAAGCCACATATTGTTTACTAAAAACTGGGTTTCCTCTCCGTGTGGGTATTTCTTCTGAGGACAGATATTTTATATTT